GTTATCCTTTCGTCTGGGAATTGTGGGCGGATATGAACTGAAGTGGTGTAGTGGCAAGTGGCGCACTATCCCACACGTACGATCAGGGGTTCAAATCCCGGATTGATACCCGCCTAGGCCAACCAAGTCCTCCATCCCCCCGGGTTTGGTTAATTGGTACCAGACTCGTCTGGGAGGATAAAAGCACTGACTCGTACATCGGCTGGCCAACGCAAGTCATTGTATAGGCCACATACGCACTCATTACGCCACTACGATTCTGAATAGAAGTCGAGTGCGTGGGCGCATCCCTCATACGGGTTTGATTAACGCCAAAAAACTTTATCCTTTATCCTTTTATAAACTGAAAGGTTGGAACAGGTTGAAAAGATAGGGAACCCTTTTGAAGAAACGCTCACCCTTCTGGAAACTGCCAAATTAAACCTTTTTCCTATAGTAATACTTTTATGTATACAGTTACGTTTTAATGCATACCTACATAATTGTATTTGTAAAAAAAAATTATTGTTTACAACGTTCAGTTGCGGTTTAGGAAATTGCAGACGTATAATTGAAGAAGTTTTCTAATAAATTGAATTCTAATAAGGGGATAGATAAATTCAAATCGCCTTCTCTGTGTAACCATCACCAAAGACAAAGTCTATTGGTGCAATTTATTACATAGCCGTTGTTGTGATTGTAAAGTGAAATGAGCAAAAATGGAAAAAAAATTTAAAAATGGGCTTCGGAAAGGAAAACTTTCCTGCGATGTTTGATCCTCTCGTTTCAGAATCATCATGGAAAGGGTTGCAAGCTTTTAGCTGGCGTCGATTGTAATTCTATTTTCTGACTTTTGTCCCTTAAATACGAGTTCCTCTTCATAAGTGGTCGAATTGGACCTTTTTCTTGAAAAATTTGCACCCGATACTTTTAACCGCCTCTCAGCTGTTTTCAATTTTGCTATTTTTTGTCTCAATCGAATCTATCCGAATAAATACCTAAAAAACAGCTGATCAGTCCACAAACCTGCCCGATTTTATCAGAAACGAGAAAAGGATTATTGAAAATGAATAGAGAGATGAGAGTAAATAAAGTAGCAAGCTTTCTCTATCTTTCCATATTACTGAGCGCACCATCAAGTGTATTTCAATGGATTGATAAATAAATAGATGACCAACTGAGTAATTCATTAGCTAATCAATCAACTAATAAACTACCTACCAAGTTAATAAGTGAATGAATAAATAAATAAATAAATAAGTTAATTAATTAATAATAGAATCTTTGCGTTATGGCTAGTGGTATGTCCATATCGAAGAATCATATCGAGCAAATGGGGAAGCCTAATTCCTTGACTAGTCCACTTTTCAGCTTACATCGAATGGCGTCGATTGTAATAAGAATCTCTGTTATCATCTTATGTATCGAACCTTGGATGGCACTTGTAATAACCTCGACAAACCAATGCAAGGAGCTGCGTTCCGGCAGTACATCAGGTAAGAGCGAAGTCGGTTAGGGTCGGTAAACTGATGGCCTAGGTCATCGTGGTGATTCAGGCGTAGATAGACCCGAAAGAGTCGAAATTATTAGGTTTTCTGACTTTCGAATAGAAAAAAGGTAGTCCTATTGTGAAAGGCTCTCCGAGCAGGCGGAGCAGACTCTCTCATCCCGAAGCTTGGTTCCTGTTCCAAACGTTTATCTCAGAATCAGGGAAATTGTATGAAGGGTAGGAATGTACAAGGATTCCTGGACATGGCGAAGCTGTGCGGAGGAGCTCATGCAGTAAGGGGGTCATACGTGCAGCTCTGAACTCATTAAATCTTGCTGAGACTGTCTATGAGCGGCAGTGACAGTATGGTGTTGATTCAAAGATAGCTGGAATTTATTGAAATTCCTCCCGATCTTCTCGAATCGGCACTTATTGCTACCAAACAGCCCGTTGATGGGAACACAGAAGCACCGGCTATATATCGGTCGTTGATCAACGCTATGTACATTCTAGTTTTTTTAGGCACTTCCCCCCACAGTATGATGACGGAGTTGGAGAGCCAATCTGTGAGTTCGTTATCAGATTATCCAATATTAATGCTGTTGTATTATGATATAAATGTTTGTACAGGATATTACTCAAATCTCAGTGTTTATATTTGTACTTCTGACTAATATTATAGATTTCAAAGTATATATGCGCTTATCTATTTACATAGGTTGTTGATTCGTTTTACTAGCTATTCTCACAGACCACTGGCTGTGGCGGAAAGTCATGCTAACGAGGATTGGGAATTGTGGGCGAAACTTCGGGCTCAGTAGAGCTTGAATTCTTCCCGGAGCGGGTTCTTATCCCTGCACAACCGAGTCCATGACACCCATGACTTTCAGGCTATAATTTATCAGATTAATTAATTGAAATCTCGTCTGAGCCTTAACTTTTGCCCACAATCCGCGATCCTTGTGAGACTTTCCCACTACGTATTGCAGCACAATTGCAGTAGTTCAGAAAACTCAAGTTGAGGGTATCATTGTTTTGTCAACAATATACAAATGGGAAGAATGTTGTTTTCTATCCACTGATGACTTCGGATTTTCAGATTTCAGATTTCATTACTTCCGAAGAGGGCGTAACTTGAATAGCGATTTTCATGGCTCTTTTGTCCCATACAAAAATCAAATCCTGATAAACCAATTTTTCGAGGTTCTACGCTCAAAATTCTCTCTGCATCCACTTAGGAATCAATTTTCCAAAAATTTCGCTTTCATTGTGATTACTGCAATCACTAATGATTGATGGGAAACGATCGGGCTAGTAGCTCGTAGAGGGCGAGCCACACCAACACAAATTTCACTGTAAAACTCACTTTCCGTACGGGTTTTACAATAATTTGGCCGAGTTTTATGCTTCTTGATGGTGGTCGTCGGCACTATTTACGAGCGCTATTAAAGGAACCCGTAGCATCGATATTCTTTTATAGAAATAAGGGAGGAAGATACTTTTTAAAATCAAATATTAAGCACCAAAAGTGGGAAGTCTTCATTCTGAGAGGTCCAAAGTTCGTTCAGAGTTTGTTTCAGATGGCGACTTTCTTACGAAAAAATCGATTAGAAAATTATCGTGAGTAATTTTTCGGCGCTAATACCTACGAAAATGCAAAACTTAATTCATGAATACTATCTTTAAATCAAGGATCCTCATTGGTAAACACAAAAGGTATTGATTTATTGATTTTTCAGCATCGATTACCCCATCACGACCAACAGCTCGTGAAACGAATCGAATTATGCTTTCATCACCACAAAGTGTCGTTCATGATAAGGTAAGCAGTAGGACAATGGTTTGAGGGAATATCCTACCTTTGAAAGGCTTTGAAAAATCAATTGACATTGGTGGTGCTTCTTTACGATCAGTGCTTTCACTTTCTCTAGAAAAGAATCTGTCCTTGAAGGGCAACTCAGTCCCATGTGGGTCGTTCCTGAACACCTTTCAAGTCACCTGTTTCAGTACAACAATCTAATGATGCAGTTTGGTCAATTCATGTCCCACGATATGGCCAAAACCACCTTACAACCGTCAGCTCAATGTACCTCATGTTCACCGATGAAATCGAAATGTATGCCAATTCCCATCGGAGTGAATGACCCGAATTCAGCGTAAGTTACCGTTCCCTTCAGTGCCGATGTTGGAGCGATCCCCTGATCGAGATGACGGCTGTTTCAGATTCAAGCAGAAGCAATGTCTCAAGGTGTCTCGATCGGCACCGATCTGCCATGTCACGCCAAGGGAGCAGCTCAACGAGAACACTGCCTACATCGATGGCTCAATGATCTATGGATCATCTCCAAAGGATCTGCACAAATTCCGAGACGGCAGGACTGGAATGCTTAAAATGAACCGATTCAACAATCAGGTAAAGACCCATTACGCATTGAACCACCCTCGCCTAACACAAATTAGAACCGAACACATTCGAAGAAACCAAAAATTCTGACTTTTCTGCTAGGTTACATCTGGTGTTTCCCAGTCCCAAACCCCGCATAGGTTTAAATACGCGTTTAAGTGTCATTATTATTCCAAATTCAAAGTAGAGCTGGGCGCATGGCTCATCTCTGAAGTTAACCGTTTGCTTATAAACATGTAATCAGCTCATCAACTCATTTTTACGTCCTTTGGTCTTTACTTTTGTTACTTTTGCTCCTACTCCCAGACAATATCAGTTACAAAAGTAATACAATTAAAGATCAAAGTAATCTCCTAGGTATCATTCATGAAACACATCTAGGAACTTTAAATAAGGAGACCAGATAGAACAATTCAATCTTAAAAACCAGTCTTTCATACTGATTCTTCAGTTGGTGCTACCTTTCGATCAGTCAAAATGCCCACACAAAGACAAATGCACGGCGTCATTCACAGCTGGTGATATTCGTGCAAATCTATTCATCGGACTGAGCAGTTTACACATCATCTTTGCCAGGGAACATAACAGGTACCGTAGGGATTCCAAAAAAAAATTAGAAATACCCGTCATGTAGTTTATTTCACATTTATTCCAAGGCTACAACAAAAAATTGTTTGTTTTTCAATCAGTTGATTAATCAGAGAATGGATTTATTTGTGATAATTGTACACTCATGGGTTATGTCCATGTATTTATGGGTTAAAAAATGGGATAGTGCCAAGTGGCGCTCTACCGTTCTACCAAGTGTGGATCCCGGGGATCAGATCCTGGTTCGACACCACCAGAGGTGAGTTGTCCTTTGTTCTTCCCTGATGTGGATTGTTTCTCATACTAGAATCGCTCAGCAGTGTAGGAACTGCGTTAAAGATCACAGTTCACGATAAAAATGGTTTCTGAGATTGCCCCACAGGATGAATTTGAGGCCCCCGCGCATACTGTATCTGGCAGGCTACAGTAGGCTTACGGCCTTGTTAGGGAGTTATAGAAGCTCAAAGATTGGTCCGTGTGTATCCTCGGACGAGTTTCACCGGCATTGTAGAGGCTGCACCGATCACAAGGGAACTCATATAGGAGTTCAAACAACCTGTCATGACCCATAGCGACAGTGATAGAGTGTTCTGTACAGTTCTGGCTTGATGTAGTCAGCTCTTTGTGCAATTGCAACAACTAAAATCTCGTCCGAATACCCCTTCCATGTTATTTCCGTCATGGTAGTATGGTCCAACCTCTGTTTTCCCTGCTTTTGAGAGCCCTTATTTTCCTCGAAATTGGCGAATCTCCTCGCTTTCTTTACTACCGATGAACTATTCCCAATTTACTTTCGCTTTTTGAATAAAAAAGGATACCTCAAAATTATCGTGAACTGTGCCTTTAGACCATCAACTGGTCTATCGGTTAACTTGGTAAGGGAGCGTTTTTCCTTCTTCAATCATTTGATTTAGGATTAGGATATTCCACTTGACCTAATTTTTTGAGTTTTAACTTTGTCATTTTTTACTTTTCCTTTATTTCCATTATATCGGAATTTCTGCTTTTTAAAATTGTGTGGCATTGAATGGTTGTTATTTGATGGTTGCACAGTTTTTGATTTTTCTTTTTTATTTTACCAAATACCTATTCGTGTGCAAAGTATTAATTTCGGTGTATCGATGAGCGATCCAATTATCATCTCTGCACTTTGTCTAACTTTCAATTTCTTTCAANGATATAGTGCGCCACTTGCCACTACACCACCTCCGCCTAATTAATGCCTTATTAAATATGCATCCTGTGCAGTTTGTTGATTTCGCTGTATCCTCTGGGAACAGTGAGCGATCCAATTATCATCTCTGCACTTTGTCTAACTTTCAATTTCTTTCAACTTTTTGAGCCCATAGCGACTGATGACGTTGGAGCACCCAATTGCAAAACTGTTTGAAATGATCTTGAAAAGTAGCCTTACTGACAATGGAGGTTCGGGGGATGACTTGTACGCTGTGACCAGTTCACTAGCCAGTTTGACCCTTTTTCTGGGGCTGCCCATTGACTCCGGGACGGAAATCAGTGCTGTTCGAGGGTTATTTCACAGTGTCCGTTCTTACCAGTATTTGGAATAGTGATTGTCATTAGCGAAATGGGTATTGATCGATTTTTTCCCGAACTTTCTTTTCTCACTGATGTGAAATCGTAATGATGGAGTCACTAAAACCCAGCTAAGCGTATCTCTCAGCTTTTTCACGTCCTTTTGACCATTTTTTGTTGAGAGCTTAACTGAAACCGTTTGGGAAAAAAAGTAACGCACTATGTGCAGGAAAGATCTCATTGGAAATCGAAATGACAGTAATTACTTTTATCACCTTGGTTCAGGTGAAGTAGGTTTCACCTACGATGAAGCGTACGAAGTAACGAATCAGAAATGTCGGGCGTAGAGCGAAGGAGTCGAACTTTCGACCCTGATCTATCCTACCGAGAAGGATACGCCGTGTACGTGACCTCCATCCGTAGCTGCTTGATGATATCTAAGGCGTTTCTGATCTGGCAACTGACATCAGGGATTGCCAACGTCAAAACACAGAAATCTCTGGTGGCTAGGAAGAGATCCGACTTCCGTGCGATCCATGAATTAGAACTGGTGTAACGGCGCTCCCTGACAGCCCAAATCCTCGAAAGTCTCGAAGTTCTGTAAAAAATCTAAGATGACTAATCTTGCTCAGCACTTGTGGTATACGCCATCCACTTGATTTCCATTCAGAATCAATTTCTTATTGAATGCTCGCTGAACATTGATTGATCTGGTAGCATGACAGGGAGCACCGTTGGAAGATCTTGTCCAAAACAGCCACTCTCAAGGGAACTTCCGTTGAGAGCTCTTCAGAGGGGTTTTCACTTCAGCAACCGAGCATGAAGAGGAATGTTTTTGGAGAAGAGCTTCTTGTATTGCTCACGACTCCTTTGCCCTTTGAGGAGCCTGTGAATTCTATTTTATGTCTTAACTCCTTCCTTTTCCCTTTTCCTTTGTTGCGTGCTTTTGGAGTGTAACATGGAATGTCTCTGAGCGGAAGTGTGTGGGTACACGTGAACACACGAAACTACTGATAAAGTCATAAACACGGCAAACTGAAATTCGTTCCTAATCGGTGTACCCATAAAGGCATTCAGAACCGCACCCATGTGGGAGTTGTGTTCGGGAACAATAAGCAGCTAATTTCCGCATCAATTGATGTTTTTACGTTCCATGCGTGATTCAGACCCTAAATCTGGAGGGAGGGAAGAGTCGGTTGGCCGATAATGGGAGGGTGCGCCATGCCTTTGTTTACTGTCGAAAAAACACCAGCACATGTTTCGATTGCCCAGTATGGTACATTACGGGAGCTGAACTAATTGGCATATTTATTTTTCTACAGGTGCGAGTTAGGAAAGAAGGTCTAAGTCCCATTGGATTCGATTCCGTCGATTCTCTACAGGTCGATAAAAACCACGTTAACCTCGTTTAATCTATTAACGCGGTGGCTTCTTTCTGCTCCAGGAAAAGGGGTATGGGAGACTCTTCGGGAAAGCAATGTGAGAATTTAAGCGAGGTAATGGAATTTGTCAGAAAAACGTCAATTCGTTAGGGTTTCGACGTTGAACCTGTTATGGAAAGCGACAAAAACCCCGAACAACAACGACACCGTTACAGGCAAATGTGAACGGCGTGTCAAACAGTCTCTGAGTCAGTCCTTGTTGATGTAGGAGAAAAAAAGAGACGGGAACACATCAAGTCGGAATGAAGCTTCTTCAAAGGAAATGGTTACTCTTTGAAAAGAAGCTTCAAACTCGGTCCTTCTCATTGAGATGCCATCCAAAATCGTAGCCACCTTCGAATGACAGGAGTAGCAGATATGGTCAAATCTTAGCTACAAGTAAATCGCAGTCAGATCGAAGAGAACTCTGCGAGGCTCTTCGTTCTTGAGTCAGAAAGCTGGGGAATGTTGAATAGTTACAGGATACGCCATGTAGTCGACCTAATTGGACAGCTTTGGGTAGAATGCTTATCTGGCTCTCGCACCTATAGGGTAAGACTGCCAAAACCATTCCCGTCGGATCACTGAAAAATAGCCTGATAGGGCTGAATTCTGTATTTTGTGGTCTTAAGGATATCTGCGGCGGCTTGTGCTGGAATAATTGATGGTGCATATGTGAATCCTGGTTTTTCCCCTATCTACTCCTAATTTATTGTATTTCTACAGCCGCCCCGAAAATGCTTACTGTTGGAAACTAATGATTCTGTTGAATGCCTTCTGATGATATCTTTGTTTTTTCTACTGTTTTGTAAAGTAATTCGTTTAAGTTAGGCAGTTTCATGGAACAATGTATCATTTATCATATTTTAATGGTATATGCTGACCTTCCAGCACGTCACGGTAGTTTTGTGAGCGGCTGTAAATAATGGTAGCTCAGTGAAAAGATGATGCCAGGCACGTTGGGCATCAGGGAACAAACCCAACCTATTAATTAGGGTTTCTTGTTCTTCTGATACCGATCAATTGAAATTAACTGGCTAAAGGAAGGAGAAAGTAAAGTTGAGGTGAAGATCGGCTGACCTAGGCAAAACATATTGCTGGGCTCGATTCCATTCCAACATACCACAATTCCGCCTAGAAGTCGGACGAATAGCTCACTCAAAATCCTAGATCAACTGGTTTAGTTAAAGTGCTTGGATTGTGAAAGTGAAAGCGAATGAGGCACATAGACGACGATGTGGTAACTATTGAGTTCTAAGATGGGCCGTGTATTCGAAGAGCACGATCATAATCTCGAGACTAACCCATCGACGACCACGTGGCCCGGCGGCGGGCCTCACCATATCGTAGTATTAATATTATTTATCAAATGTTTTTATAATTTTTTTCATGTTTTCAAGTATCAGCTGAGCTCACAACTTTCTAGAGAATCCTGAGGCATCTGGTCCAGGAATCATTCACTTCCAACAACAGTTATAAGAGAAATTAAAAGCTAATGTAAGGACAATGTAAAGGGCGCGATCGCCAATGGGTTAATCATTACCAGAAAACGTTTCGAGGAATTTTTACGAGCTTTGCATTTGGGACTGCTAATGACGACCGTCTTTTCAAAATCTCATTTTTTGAAGTGTTCCTACCAATGAAAAATTCACCAAGGTAATGTACTCCTCCGAAAAAACACCTTTACAATTGCAAAATTAGAAGATTTGCTAGAACCAGGCTCTGTGTAGTTTCATTTAGGTCTGATGTAATGTTTTGAGAAGAAAAATTGAAAAAAAAGTGAAAATTTAGATGAATAAAACAAAAAATACAACTGCAGTCCACAGGTGGACTGCATGGTCGTCAATGGGTTAAAGAAGTCATCTTACTCTTTCAATTGTTTGTATTACAAATCAGGCATAGGCACTGCCATTCATCGCTCTCAAATTCACAAATCAGGAATGTTTTAATGAGGGAAATATAGGAGAGAACTGACTAAAGAGAAGCCTGTGAAATCTAGCAGATTTAGCTGGATGGATCGTTCTTTTTTCCTTGGCAATGTGTTTTAAAGTTCATAGGACTTGGTAGACTTATTATGTTTTGTTAATTATTT